TGATGCTGCCCTCTTACCATAGAGCTGCTGCAAAATGAATCAGAATCAGAATCAGAATCGGGTTGATATTATGACACAACTTTAATAAAGCTGAGCAAAGAAACAAACAAATTATCTGGATCTAGACACAACCTAACAGAATTACAGTTGCTGTCATTGTGCAGTTTAGCTGCTAAAGCAAGTAGCTAATCTGCTCAAATGGAGAACTTTGAGCAGAAGAGATCATGCTTTGCCTCCCATCACCAATTACTAATGTGTGAAAGTGGGCATGTTGTTTACTGAGCAGCTGCAGCTCGGTCAAGGTAGGCGCTTCCTAAAGGGTGGGGATCATCACTGCTCAATGTAAAACAGTGATGGACCCTCGTGTTCAAAGACAGCAAGGAGCAGCTGCTCACAAAGCAAGATTTCTAAGGATTAGTCAGAGATGCATGAATCAAGGCTGGGAATCTCTACATGCATGTTTGATAAATAAATGATGTTACAACATAGTTACTGTATGATTAAAAACTATGATGAAATATGCATTTTTGAAAACAAAACTGAAATTGTGAGATCAGGTTATCTTTAGTTTTTGGACCTTAAATCTAATGTCATGGTTTTGGTTCTGTTTAAGTTTTCTTTTTTAGTTTTCACTGGTTTCATTTCCATTTTGTGTTATTGTAGTTGTTTTTGGTTGTATTTGAGTCCCTTTGTATTTCTTGTTTACTCTCTGTTGCCCTCTTGTGTCAGTCTCTTTCCCCTAGCTCACTTTTAGATTCTCCTTTCCACACCTATTACTTGTCTGGCAATTAGTCCTCCCATTGTTTCTTTATGCCATATGTACTCCTTCTGTTTGGTCACTCTTTGCTGGTTCCTCATCATTTCTTTGCCCCTCAGGAGAGTTTTCTCTGAAGTCTTCTAGTTCTTGGTTTTCTGTATTTTGTTATTTTTTGGTTTTTCCCCTCAGTTGTCACCCTTTTGGGTTATTAAATCTGCAAGAAACCACTTCAGCTTCATTCTCTGCATTTCAGTCCTCTTCAAACCTTCAGAACCTGACATATAAAGCCTTTAAGGTAGTGATGTTATGAGATGAACCAAGGCTTCAAGGCGAGTGTTGAGTAATAGAGGGGGCGTTTCTGCAAGGTGCATATCGCTGGCTTGCTTCATTTGGGGGAGAAGCCAAAATAGAGACGTCCAAAGCCTCACTACCCTGCCATACCATGTGACCGTTTCGGAAAGTAGTTCAGCTCGCCAGGAATTCAAGATGTAGGAGTTTGTAGGAGAGTTACTGTCAGTTGGATGGAGTCTGGATATATTCTAAGAATAGATTGGTTGGAAAAACAACTGATCTAGTAAGTTAAAACTAGTTTGGTCAGATTAAACAATGTAATGATCAAAATCTGAGCAACACGCTGATTATAGATGTAAGATGTTTTAAGCTTTCAGAATCATCATCACTTTGTTAGAGGCATGAGCTGTAAGAGTTGGACTCCCACTCTTGAGATTGACGGTTCAAAGACTCACATCAGACTTTTTTTTTGGCTAATGTGATTAATTTGTGTTGGTTTGTCCTACTACCAATATAGATTGGGTAAAACACTGCCAAAGTATGATTGATTGTTTTGACCAAAAGATTGGTTGAACACATAACTTCCAACCCGATTAAAACCAAAAACTATCATGTCTGAAAAAAATGACTGTTCATCGTTGTCCAATTTGCACAAGCACTTTCACTGTCTGCTTGAGCCTTTTTCACAAAAATGGCAGGAAAACAGTGATTTTTCTCTTCTAAGACATTTTACACACAAATATCTTACAAAATATTTTATTATACAGACCAATCATTAACTATTTCAAAGGAACTTATGTGGGGGAAAAAAAAATAAGAAAAACAATTGCAAAAAATCAGATTATATTACTAACTGTACTTCTGCACTCCACCGATAGATGGTGACATTTTCACATGAGGCTTCATGAACTGTAGGTATTGTTGAAGCATTTAGCCAAACAGTTAAAGTGCCTCATGAGGCTTCATTTCACAATCACTAGTTTAGGGTGCACTATAGTCAGCTCTTCTAAATGTTTGATGCAGAGGTGGATAATCCAGGTCCTGGTCCAGAAAGTTAAAGGCCTGTACAGAGATCAGTTTCAACTATATCCATTTCCAACTCCACAAAGCAGACTAATCACTTGGTTACGTGAATAGGATGAAGGAAAACAAGGCAGGGTTTTTATTTTCTGGACCTGGATTATCCACCTCTGGTTTGATGCTACTTCTGGTCTGATGGTTAGGTTAATTGGATTCTCTAAATTCTCATTAGGTGTGAGTGTGTGCATGAATGGTTGTTTATACTGTTTGTCTTTGTGCTGCCCTGCGATGAACTGGCGACCTGTCCAGGGTGTAGCCGCCTCTCGCCCGTAGCTGTAGATAGACACCAGCACCCCTCACAACCCCGCTTGGGATACGCTTGACGGAAAATGGATGGATGGATGGATGGTTTGTTGCTTTTCTTTCCAAAGTCAGAAAATGGTGTTGTCCTGGTTTGCTCTATTGTGACAAACAATAAGCTATGAGCTAAGCTAAATAAATCTCTGTATTCATCAGTCCAGCTACAATCCAGCCCTTGCCTACAGTTTGGGGACATGTAATGAACATATTGTAGAGATGCTGAATACAAACTTCTAAACCCAGTTTTTTCTGTTCAATGTAAACATATGGCAACCATAGGTTGAAAAGTAGCATCATCTATGATGAGCAGAGAGTAGAGTTAGTGCTCCTCCACGTCAAAGGGGGGGTTCAGGCACTCAACCAAGTCACCTTCAGGCTAGGGCAAAGCTACATTTAGGTACAAGTAGGCGGTGGCCTAGGGCTCCACATTCCTGAGGGCCCCATAAAACTCCTCATGCTGATATAATTCATACAGTTTTATTGTATGTTATTTTTTAATAGAAAATTAAGTTATTTTTTGATTAAATAATTTTGCTAAAATGCAATCAGAAAACATGTCTTCAGTCTCGACTACATTGAATAAATCCATCTTACTGCAAAAAGAATCCATGAAGAAAATGAAGAGGTGAAAAAAAGAAAAGGAAAGGAAGATGAACAGAGATTTGCGTTTTCCAAATTCTGCCACAGTTTAGGGAACCTCCATTTAAAGCAACGGTGCACAGTTTCAGGTCCCAGGGGCCAGGATCCAGCAACTTTCACATCCATCAACACACTGAAATCAAATGGCTGCGTTACCTTCTCAGTATGCAGTCAGTTCCTCCAGAGTCCTCTCAATCTTCTAATTACTTGATTAAGGTGTGTTGAACCCAAAACACGTATGAAAGTTGCAGGATACTGGTCCGCAAGGACTGGAATTGTCCACCCCTGATTTAAAGGTGATCCAGACACCTTCCCCCTTATAGAGGAAATCTAAGGGCAGATCAGGAAAACAATGCAGAGACCATTTATCTATTCCTTCAGGGCGGCAAATTACTTGAGATCCCCCAGAACGAGCAAAAGCGTGTTGTTACTGAGAGGGATTTTTAAATCCCCCCTTGTTTTGTTTTTTTACCACCTGATACCCTAAGATGGTCTTTAGAGTAGGTATATTATTTTTAGGCTGAATCAATATATAACTTAGTGTTAAAATGGCAACATTAACAGATTAACAGACCTATCCTGAAGCAGGGTAAATAGAAGATATAATAAATATTGCTAATTTCTTTATTTAAAAATACTTTTTACTAGACATATATCTAAAAACCCACTTCAGTTTATACATTTTAACCTATGATATATAAGCCTTAAGTCCAACATTTAGTTTTCCTCTTTAAGGACCCATTAAAGGTGTTCAGGCATCTGGAGAATCTTATAGGTTAAAAAAACACCTTAGACTAGTAAGACGAGTAGAAAGGTAAGTCACTTGTACAACAATTGCTGCATACAATTAAATAACCTCTTCTTCTTTAAATAATTTAAAAGATGAGGGAAATAGTACTTCTGTCTTATCAGTTTGTCAGTTTTGTTCACAGAGCAGATTTCATCGGTAGCAGCTGAGATGAAAATGTGCTAAAATGCTTCAAACTGTCTCTTCTCCTTCATTTAGCATATTATAAAGAAATCATGCTTTTAAATGCACAAGTAGTATAAACATTATCAAAAAAAAAAGGACCTTGGATGTGCCAGTCTAAAATCAGTTGTTAAAATGAAAATCAATATTGTGTTGGTTTTCTTTCTTCCTGTTTTTAAATTATCTTTCTTTTTTTTTCTTTTTTGGTAAATGGTGTTAGAGAGGCATTCAACAACTTGTGCTAATTACATTCCAATATGCTACTGGCCCTGGGCTGATAAAAGAACAGATGTGCAGCAGGTAGGGGCAATTTGTCTTATTCCAACAGGAAATATTCCTCTGCAATTATGGATCATGCAGTTTTTTTGTTGTTGTTTTTTTTTGTGCATTTTTTCTTATTTCAACCCAGCCTTGTCTTACCATTCCCCTTCTGAAGACTTAGCAGCATGGTGCAACTATAGCATGTTTTAGCTTACTCATCTGAAAATATCACCAAGTTTCAGTAGGCACAAAGGAAAGAATCCTCCCACTGAAATGCATTCATTTAATTGTTGTGTAACCAGATACATGAATAAAATTACGGGTTTTTTTAACAGCATCCAAATGCCTTGCAAAGTATTTTGAGTTCTGCGTTTTCTTTAGATTTAACCACTGAATAAAGGTAAACTAAACTAAACTAAAAACTGTAGCCCAGTGCTTTTCACTGTTATCTACCCAAACCCCCTCAAAGTATTGTTGGAATATTCCCTAACGCAGAGAAACTCTAGGTCTGCGCCAAAACGCATCTCCTCTTCCTTAACAGTTTTCCTAAACTCTGATTTTTTTTCCTGACTTGCGAGTAATCAAGTGAAACCTGCAGGCACGCGGCCGGGTAGGTGGAGTGGCGATTTGGTCGTTAACGGGGGTATTTGATCTGGTGACGCGGCCGGAGGATGGGAGGGTGGAGGGCCGACCGCAGAGAGAGAGGAGGCGGGCCGGAGAGGAGGGAGAGAGGTCTTGGCTCTTGTCTTACCAAGGCGCTTTGATTCAGTAGCTGAGACGGCGCGGCGCTTACCAGCCACTCCGAAGCTTGTAAGTCTCCTTCTACTACTTATCAACCTGCTAGTTATCCGTTTAAATATTTGTTTAGTTTTTTGAGAGAAGGGCAAAAGTTAAGGTAAATTATTTTAGAGGAACTGGTTGGAAGTGTAATAATCAGAAGTTTGAGTAAAATGGAGGATGTGCAGTTTTAATCTGCATCGAATGCACGCACAAGTGATGTAAATAATCGAGTAAAAACAGATGCATTCCAATTTTTGAAGATATTAGAAGTAAAACTACACTTTTAATTCCAATTCTTTGCGATCCGACAATCCTAATGAGGACTTGGGCGCTGTCCGTGGTGCTGAAACTCTTCTGAGTTTCATTCCGCATTTATTCTGTCTATAAAAGTCCCCAATGAGGTTTATAGTAGCGACGCTTTAATGACCATCCTCTTACCTCTCCACAGCGCAATCCATCGACAAATTCGGACAAAAACGGATTTCTACAAGGGGACTTCGTGTCGTTATTTCGTCTCTTTACGCACAGTTTCCAAAAAAATAACTTTCTACATTTCAACATCTATCTGAAATCTTTCCATATATTGGATCGATAAAGTTTTAAAATATGTCCAATAAGGAGAATAACAGCCGCTCAACGTCCGAGAGTTTGAGTTTGGCAACAATGCGAGTCCCTGAGATGAAGAAAAGCGCAAGAGTTTCCACTCGATAAGAATTGGAAGAGAAGGACAGAGCAGAACACACAGTGCAGAAGGAAGTGGAGGTCAACAAGCCAACACCAGCGCCTCCTCACATGATGGGGATAAAGCACCTCCTGCTTCTTTTGATTTACTTAGACCCCCTAAATGTCCTGTGCGCTGCCGCCAACGCCAACAAGAGGAGCAAACCCCCGCCGAGGAGGAACCCGAAAGTGAAGGAGGTGAACGCAAGCACCACCGCGCTCCCCGCCGCTATCCCGCGGAAAATCACCCAGGTCCAAGCTCCTTCCGTGGGTCAACATGATACCTGCATGGGCTACTACGACGTGAGTGGCCAATACGACAAGGAGTTCGCCTGTAATAACACGGACCACCGCTTCTGCTGCGGCAGCTGCTTCCTGCGCTTCTGCTGTGCGGATCGCGGGAAGCGGCTGGAGCAGAAGACCTGCACCAACTACAACACCCCGGACTGGATCAAAACCCAGCCCCCTTCACCAGCGCCCACAGGAGACACATACGACCCAGCGCTGGACCAGACCAACACCACGGTGTACATCACCTGCGGGGTCATTGCGCTCATCATCGCCATTGGGATTTCTGCTAAAGTTGCCTATGATAAAGCCACCAAACCCCCTCAGGAGATGAACGTGCACAGGTAAGAAGATTACTAGCTAGTAAAAGTGATAAAAAAAAAAAATTATAGCCCGTGAAACTAAATTTTGGTTCAATACATTTTTATAACACACCAAAAATAATATAGTGCAATGTTTTAAGGAGAAAAAAGCAAAGTTTGAAGCTTTAAAAAAAATCTAAAAAGTGTGGCATACATTTGTTCAGCTCATTTAGCCCCCTTAGCCAATACTTTACAAAACCAGACAGTTGAATTCTAATTAATAATTAGATTACTTTTCAAACCACAGTTGTATGTATTTAGTTGTATTTGAATTATGGATCTTAATTGCAAACTGGCACCACACTTTTGATCTTAATTTTTTAAAAGCTGTGTATTACTTAATAAGTTGGTCATAATATTTCAATTTAAATTCAAATACAACGTAGTTAAGAAGATGACTTTAACCAAAAATATATATATATTAGCTAATTTTTGAAAGTCACTCTCACACTTAACTAACACATAACTCCCTTCTACAGTTTTTTGGGAAGATTCTGCCCACACTTTTACTGTTTCTCAGCTCAAACAGCAGCTCCAGTTCATTTATTGGTCCCATTTTTAAAGGTAAAGATGGCTCTCTTTTCCATAATTTGCATCACATGTTTGATTGTTTGGTGTTTCCCGTTTCATATTAAACAAAGCCAATGCTACTGAAGAACCTCCAGATGGGAAAATCTTCTCTCACCAGCTGAATCAACTCAACATTGGAAGTGACGCTGTGAGCTCTACAAGGCAAATGTTTTCCCCCCAATAGCTTTCATCCCAGTTCAAACCCTCCAGACACCCTCTGGGGGTTTACTGAAAGGCTTTCCTCTTTGCCCAGTTTGTCTGTGTTATTTTGTTGAGATGTCGAAAGCTCCATAGCTGCATTTTCCACAGATCAGGACCCAAAGGCCATGTGTTTTATTTAAAGTTAAACACCTGCAGAGCCGATCATAGAAACCATTGTTTTAACAAGCTGTGCATAGTATACCTACTTTGACAAAGATTTATTCTCACTGGCACCCCTGGTAAATAAGCATAATAAGGCTTAAAATAAATCAACATATATTGCATAAAAAAATTTAATATTTACGAATCAAAACAATTTACCTTTTATTTGAGTACAGTTATTCAGTGGATGCATCCAATGTTTAGATCTAATGGATTAATACTACTGAGATGATATTACATATAAGTGTAAAAGATGAATAATTTATTTTCATTTTATCATGATAATAAATTGAAAATGAATTATATAAAAAATGGTGTTGGTATATTGTTAAAAATGTTCATTTTAATATCAACAAATAAAATGGTCAATCCATTTATCATAACTTCAAAACCTTTTTTCGCGGACTGGATGCCACTTAATCTTCTATAAAATTTTGCATTTTCTGGTTCATACAGATGGAAGAAATCTGTGACCATTCTTCTTTCTTAAACTCTGGTCCTGGTGGGCCACTGTTGTGGAACTTCTAGATGTTTCTCTACTTGGAAACACCTCAGTGAAATTATTCTGTAATTTGTAGGACTGCAGAAGTTTTCTGCTTGCTGGGGGAATAATTCAGCTCATTGATTGTGGTCTATTGGACCAGGGATGTTGGTGAAAGATGCAGAACGCTGAGCTCCTGAGGACGAGAGTCTAAGACTTCTGCCATAAATAGTTCAAAGTCCTTGTTCCTTTTTATTCTATTCTCTTCAGCTCAGCCTAGAGGTTCTCACCCCATATGTGAGATTAAAGGTAAAGACCTGTTAGGATTTAGGGTTTTTGGACTCAGATGGAAAAGGTTGGCTTTTTCTCTGCTTAGCTGTGTATCGATATCGATATCACACTAAAAGACCTTTGCACAAGACATTTTCAATTATTAAAACAGCCTTGATGCAATGCACTTTTTTTTCCCAAGCAATACAAACCTGCACTATAACAGATCCTCCATCAAATGAGAATAAGTTGCTTTTCTACTTATTCATCTAATTCAATCTTAGTCCAATTTGACCAAAAACCTTAGTTCTGGTTAAGTTCCGGAAGAGTTTTCACATATTTACCTTGATTGTATGGCAACAAAGCTTCCCAGCTTCCTAGGATTTGGTGTTTAATGGGTTTAATGGGGACACGGTGACCAAAGATGTCTCTTTATGCAGATCCCATGGTGATCTTTAGAGCTTCCTTCCTCCCCTTTACTTGCCATCCTCCCCACTGCATTGTGGTCAGTTAAACATGTGTTATATTCCTGTCTTATGGCTGATGGCGATGAGAAATTGGACTTTTCATCACATGATTTTTAGATGACATCGATATTTTCTTTTAAGCTCATTCAGGGTCCCCAGCTCATTCATATTCTGTTGTTTTTAAATCAGCTCTGAGAACAGGGACTCGTATTCCAGAGCTTTTTTTATGTTAAAAGTGACTGAAAAGCAAAGATAAAATCAATCCAGCAAACATATCTGCCACTGATGAGAAGATGAAGATTTTATGCGTTTTGCCTGATGTACTTTTTAGAGTTTAGAGTTTAGTTGCTGTTATTTATTTGCTGGGTGGGCTGCAATAAACCCTGTTTTTTGTTACTCTTTCTAATTCCAGGAGGGTTTTTCAGTCTTATTATTACATTATTATGTTTACCACTTTTAAATCACCTGCCTTTTGTATTTTAATTACTCCACCTTGCAATTAAGTTGTATAAAAGTCCCTTACTGATTACAGAAAGAAAACACATTAACATTTTCCATGATTGTATGTTATAATAACAACAACTTTCTTTGTTTGAAGCACTTAGTGTCCATTAGTTTGAGCTGAGCCATGCTGTTTTTGCAGAGATGGTTCTTCTTCAATGTTTATATGAGGAATAAAGATCCTCTCACATGTTCATTCGAGCGGTTCTATTTTGGGCGACCAGGGAGATTCCAGTGCCTATTTTTATTTTCTCCTTGGACTGTGTTCCTACGGGATGGGCTTTTCAGAGTATACCCAGAGTCCCCTTTACATTTCTGGGTCACATCCCCAAGTGCTCTAATGATCAAAGAAACCAATGAGGTCTTTATTTTCACAGTCCTAGGGATATATCAGTTGTTCAATGTTCCCCTTGTTCCCTCTTCATGTTAGGGGCATCTTTGCACCATCTGCATATTAGGTCCCCTGATCTTGAAGGCCTCTGTGTCATAACATTTCGAGCTGCATGAAATCTACTTTATTCTTCAGTTTATCCCACCTTCATAAAATTTTTCAGCCTTTCAGCCACTTGCTTAATCAATCCCATCCATCCATCAATTTCCTATAACGCATATCCCTACTGGGGTCGCGAGGGGTGCTGGTTCCTATCTCCAGCTATCTACGGGCGACAGGCGGGGTAAACCCTGGACAGGTCGCCAGTCAATTGCAGGGCAACTCAAGGCACACTCACACCTAAGGAGAATTTAGAGAAGCCAATTAATCTAACAGTCATGTTTTTGGACTGTGGGAGGAAGCCGGAGTACCCGGAGAGAACCCACGCATCCTCAGGGAGAACATGCAAACTCCATGCAGAAAGACCGCGGGCCAGGAATCTAACCTGGAACCTTTTTGCTGCAAGGCTGCACCACTGTGCCACTGAGCAGCCCAACTTTCTTAATCTAAAGTTGATATGCATCATGGAGACACATGATACTTCATCTTTATCCTCCTCTTGTTCATTGAGTTTCTGACCCCAGATACATTAATTTAGCCTCTCACTAGTCCTTGCCTTCCTTCTACCTAGTATACAATCTGAAGGTGATAGAACCCCATCAAAGGCCTCTGTTAGATGACCAGAGCTTAAAAAGAAACCACACAAAGGGAAAAGGCAGAAGGTTAAAGATGGATAGATAATCAGGAGCTGAGCAGGACTTATTTTAAAACAGGGGTGGCCAGTTCTAGTTTTTCAGTGTTGATATTATGCAACTTTTAGACATGTTCTCGGTCAATTATGCCTTAATCAAATAATTATCCAGAATTTACCTGAAAGTCTAGCCTTAGTGAAAGAGGGACAAACAGGGCAATACTTTTAGGAGAAATACTCCATTTAGGTCTGGTTTAAAGCACAGATTGAAAACGCAGAAAAGCTCCCTGATGGCCAAGGTTAAGTAAGACTCACATTGCTTTGGACCTACTGTCATTCTCCTCCAAAAGCCCTGGGATCCCTTTTAAATTGCATTGCATCATGGATTTGGAAAAATTCAAGAAGTAGAGGTTCTACTCAATTAAAATGTTTAATCAAGCTAATTACAGGGCTGTAATTAACCAACAATGACAATTAAATTTTAAATGTTTTGAATTTTTACTCCTAAAGTATTTAATAAAGTCAGAAAACCAAAGCAACACAGAATATATATTGCTATTATCCATTATTTAGGTTATTCAACACTTAGTTGATGATTACAATGCTGTAGTCTTGAAATGTCTTTGGAAAAATACTGTTGTAGAAATATAAACTGTACTGAAATATTCATTATAGCATAAATCATTTGAATTGTTACAAACAATTATTTGTAGCAACAATATCATGTTTTTATTTTGTAGTTTTTTTTAACCCTCATGCAGAATCGGGCGGAGAACCAATCAGTTTTAACATTTTATCTACAAGGCAAGAAGAATCTGGAAGCAGAGAACTGCAGGAAGTCAGTTGAACTTTCTGGTTGGTCTGAGGGGAGAAAGCAGACTGATCAGGAAGGAGTTGGTTGATGAAAACTGATGACTGAATGCTTAGCTTACTTGAGGGATGAAGGGGAGGTAGCATGGATCTGTAGGAGTTTGATTCAGCAGGCTTTGCAGACTGTAACCCAAAGGTTCAGGAGAATGTGAGTGAGATCCAAGAGCTTTGATACTTGCAAGAAATGTTGTGCTGGAGAGCGGGCAGGCAGGTAAAGAAGACTTGGATCTGTTGCACACACAGGTAAGACCTTTTCCATGAAGATCATAGATTAATTAGGGTTCACTGGTTGTTTTGTGCAATAATAGAGTCCACAGTAAAAAAGATTCACAAGAAGAC